CTCTCCTCTCCTCTCCTCTCCTCTCCTCTCCTCTCCTCTCCTCTCCCCTCCTTGGGGGTGGGGGCAATGGCCTTGTGCATAGATCCCCAGCATATGCACATGGAGTATTCCTTGTAACTATAGAGACTAGATAGGGGGAGAAGTCCTACATGGAAGGAGCACCTCATTGACATTGGAGACTGTTGGATCATGGCCTGAAAATAGCATTTTGTGACTGGGTCCTTGCTGATGAGATCAATGCCTCTGTAACTAGATTAAAGTGGCCTATATTCTCTTACTTGGAAAAAAAAATACAAAAAATAGGTGTATGTCTTAGTAAGATTTTGCTTAATAAGTCAGTGTGAATGAAAATGGCTATTTTTGTTTTTTTAAAGACAAATGTAATATTTTATCCTCTTTACCTAAGAGGTTAGAAAGAGGATAGTCAACATTAATTGGGGGTGGGGTGGGGAAGATATCTTAAAAGGCTTTTTGTGCCTTTCAGGAGGAGTTGGGAACACAACTTTTTTTTAAAAAAAATACCCCTTTGCTTCAACTTTCCCTGCTACTGTACCCTATACCGTACCCTATCTTATAAAATAATCTGACTACTTAAAAAACAAGAATGAATATTACTGCCATATTTATTGAGTTAAAACGTCTGTGTTGATTCATATTTTTCTATCTATCTCTATATATACAAATATAAATATGTATATTTATATTTTTGTATTTTTATTAAATAAATTAGTATTTATAAATAAATTATGTTTCCATTTACTCTGGCCATGCATGGCCTTTAGTCAAGAACATTTAGTATGTTTCAGGTTGGAGAGAAAGTGAGGGTATTTCCATCCAGGCCCTGTTTTTGCCTCTTCAAACCATTTTCAAAGTGAATTGTGATTTTCCTCACAATGGTACTCCTCAAAACACTTGATGATGGAAGTGTGAATTGACAGCCAACCAGGTCTATCTGGTCTCCATCACTGGACTCAGTTCTTTTTAATTGGCTTCTTCTGTGATTTCAAAGCAATGCAGCAGTTTACTATGAAGATGGTTTCAAAGAGGCCCCTCATTGCTCATTTTAAAGGAAGTAGCAACCACAGTTGGGACTGGCAGCTCAGTTGTTAAGCAAAGTAGTTGCTAAGTGAAACTATGATTGCGCTTACAATCTTATTTTAGCTTTCATTTGCTTTATAGACATGTGAAGGTTTTAAATGTGAGGAATGGTTGCAAAGTTACTTTTTCATCACCATTGTAACTGTGAGTGGTTGCTAAATGAGGCAGTCATTAAACGAGGACTACTTGTAGTGAAATGGCCGCACTGGCCCTGCTCTTGAAACAGAGAGGAGAGAAACTACTTTGGCAGCAATTCAATTCAATGCAGCGCAGTGGAGATGAAATTAACTCTGCTGCCAAGTAGAGATGGAGGGGTGTAATCACATGGGCTCAGTGGCAATCCTGGGGTGGCAGTAGTTCTGTAAATGGAAAGGCCTTAGCTATGCTTAGAGAAGATTCCAGACAATATTAAGGTTTTAATTAGTCAAATCTAATTAGTAACTTGTATGGGAGAGAGGGAAACAACCTTCCCCCCCCCCCCACGCCTCAATTTAATTATAACCATTACCAGGCTAAGGACTCTTTTAATAGTTTTTTGATGACGGAGGTTCAGATAAGATCCAGCACATTTATTACATTTTGATCTACGCTTCTGATAAGAGTTAAAAACATCATACATGGTTCTCCATCTGCTCCCCACCCTATAATTTTTTCCCCACAACTAGTCCTTTTCTAAAACTCAGAATACCTTTAAAGACTGCATTTATTCTGTTCATTATTTAGTTCCCCAACAACCAGAGTTTTGGGGGTAGATTGCAAAATGGTTTCAATCGTTTTAAAACAACAATAAAACTTTAAAACGCTAACATATATCAATGAAGAACACAGAAAGGATTTCAGAATATGTGTATATGCACATCTGTGTGTGTGTATGTACACACTCAAACACAAATACACATGCACTTCTCAGAACAATGTGGAGTACTATAAAATCAAACCTAAGTATCAAAAGTAAAAAAAAAATGAAAATCCCACCAATAAAAAATGCCTACAAGTCCCTTTTTTCCTTCTCAACCAGTACATTTTTTTTATTTTTTATTTTTTTGTCAATGCTGAATTGCCCTCATAGCCTGCTCATAATAATCCTGCAAGGTAGATTAAATTGAATGATCTTTAGAGTTCTAAGGCTAAGTAATTAGTGTAGCTGAAAATTAGGAGGTATTATTTTCATGAAATTAGTTTGGGTAACAATCTATCTTTGTTCATTTGATCTCCTACATGTGAAAGCTAAAAGTGGAGAAGAACTATGAACACTGTCCCCTCTCCCCCATCTGTGACTCTGCTGTGTCCAATAGTAAGTTTATGGGAGATGTGCAATGGAGTTCTACTCATATTCACTAAACACGAGCAGAACTGGAGCAGCAGGTAATCGCTGTGGCCAGCAAGTCTTTCACAACATCTCATGTGCCAGTTGCAGCCATTTTGGAACAGGAAGCTTTGCTCCTTGTTGGCTGGACCTCTGCAGTTCACTGTACCCGGGCTGCCCTTGGAGACTATTTGGAAGCTTCAGCTGATTCAGCATGGAATGACCCAATTCATTATGGAAATACCAAGGCAAAACAAGAATGAAAAGAGTTTGTTCAGTTTCTCCAAATGTACTTGCTGTTCCCAAAAACAAAAAAGAAGGCCAGGGAGTGGGGGGAGTTGGCCACTAGTCACAGGTGCAGTAAATATAGGTAACAAAGACCATTGTTTTTTATATAATGGACTTACTCCCTTCCCAATTTTGAAGCAACTAGCAAATGTCCACAGTCTGCTGCAATTCAATCTCATATATTTTTAAAGGTGATTAGGCAAGTAAAGATTTGTCATTAATGGGCTTTAAAATGAAAAGGACATTAACAGAGACAAAAGAAGCTCAAAAGTCTAAAAATAAATTAGACGGTCTATTCCTCCTGATACAACATCTTGTTAAGTGATACAAAATTCATAGGTTTCCATGATTTGAGTGAGCTAGTGCTAATGATGGATGCACATGTGCGCACGTGTGTGTGTGTGTATGTGTGTGTACACCAGTTTAAAACCTTAGTCATTCATTGATCGGACCTGACATTCCAGTGTTTCAGGTAAAAAATTTTAAAAAAACTTTCTTTTTTGTTTTTGTGTATACTGATTTAAATTATTGATTATTGTTATTTGATGGGCTAAATATTTGCTTCTGGATGAGCAGTCAATCCTGCATCAGTCACAGATAGGTTGTTTAAAAGTTAGATACTTTTTGTGGATGGCATATACAGTACCTGTTCCTTCTTGTGACCTAGCTCTATTAGTCACAATTATTCTGGCACAACTATATACCAAGGATCAATTCTCTTCTAACTTGGGAGGGACTTCCTTCCTTCCTTCCTTCCTTCCTTCCTTCCTTCCTTCCTTCCTTCCTTCCTTCCTTCCTTCCTTCCTTCCTTCCTTCCTTCCTTCCTTCCTTCCTTCCTTCCTTCCTTCCTTCCTTCCTTCCTTCCTTCCTTCCTTCCTTCCTTCCTTCCTTCCTTCCTTCCTTCCTTCCTTCCTTCCTTCCTTCCTTCCTTCCTTCCTTCCTTCCTTCCTTCCTTCCTTCCTTCCTTCCTTCCTTCCTTCCTTCCTTCCTTCCTTCCTTCCTTCCTTCCTTCCTTCCTTCCTTCCTTCCTTCCCTTCCCTTCCCTTCCCTTCCCTTCCCTTCTCTTCTCTTCTCTTCTCTTCTCTTCTCTTCTCTTCTCTTCTCTTCTCTTCTCTCTTGGTTTTGGCCAGTAATAATGTGGTATTACTAGACCAAGTATTTTCAGTCTTTCAGGTGATGGGAAGCATCTGGAGGCAAAATAGCTGCCTTGAGCATTTACAGTGTTTAAAGTACTCATTTCATTCCTTTAAAACCTTCATAATCTTTTCTCCAAGAAATTTAAAAAGACCAATAAACTGGCACCATCCCCTCTGGGGATTTTTGGGGGGCAAAAAAAAAAAAGGCTATAGGCCATAGGTTGTGCATTCATAATGTAGAACATAGTGTCCTCCAGATCTGTTGGAATACAACTCCCCCAATCCCTTCATTCTTCAGGTTGATAAAACTTGATATCTTGAGGCACCAGATCATTTATCCCTTATATCTAGAAGATACAGACATCTGGAACACCAGATTTCTGAAAAGAGTTATGAAAACATTTCTAAATTAAAAGTAGAGGCACAGATTGTTCTGCTATCTAAAACATCCAGAAGACATCTAGCTGCCTGTCTCTGACGTGAGACTAAGAATTATTCACCCTTATGGGAGTCTGTGCTGTGTGTTTGTGAAGATGTTGCTGTTCTGAGATTGTATCCTAATTAATTGCCAACTCTATAACAGCTACTCATGGAAAGATATCATTGACTACCTCCTGCAACTTTGGGAATAATCCCTGTAATTGCCCAATTGCCATGT